GGAGACGATCGACCGGCCAAGCTGCTAACTCCGGCAACTGACGCGCGTCTTTGGTCGAATTCTTGAACCGAAGACACTTGTTCTTGGTAAGGCAATTTCCACTCTGTTATTCCTTTAAGTCCTAGCGGTCCAATACCTTCTGCCCATCCTAAAGATGCCCTTTCTACCCCCTCTGTAGCCTGGTCGCGTGGTACTTACCATGGGTACAAATCAGTTGATGTGTCCACAGTAGATCGAATCCTTGAGGGTAGATCGCGTGTCCAAATGATTGCACCAACTCGATCCACTCCGGTGATTACGTAATCATCATGAATGATGACGTAATCACCGACGCGCCGTCGTCGACCACGAGTCTCCGAACTGGATCGGGTCACATTCCATCAATCAGTCACTTGTCCCCAGGAGTCAACTGTCAGTTCACCGCAGTACCACAGCTAGTACGGACTGCGTGTGTACGTGTTTTCACTGGGTGTCATGTTAAGAAGTGTTGTCACGTGACTGACACATTCAGCCCATAATGTCTTGGGTAGCTTTGCATCAAGTAAGAGGGCACGGACGCGATCCATGATCGTGCGCATACGTCGCTTGGCGACACCATTTTGTTGTGGTGTGTAAGCATTTGTAAATTGCGCGTGTGTTCCGTACCGCTTCAAGACTATGCGATCCAGCTTCTCACATTATCAGCTTGCAGCACTTGAACATCCAAGCCCGAGGTGGATCCTGGATACTCTAGCGTATGTACATCTCTGCGAAAGATATTCAGGGCTTTCATCCTAAAGTCTTCGTAGCAAGAGTAGAGTTGGCTGCGAGCCTTGATAGGGTACGCAAACATGTAGCGAGTAAAGTCATCAATAAAGACAACAAAGAAACGGGGAGTGGACCACAGATATTAGAATGGACTTCTTGCAAAGGTTGTGAAGCACGTTCAACACGTTTATTAGACGGAAATGCAACACGGTGTGACTTCGTGTAAGTACATGCAGAGCAAAAGAAACTGTCTGTGGGAACTACGGTGTTAGCGTCGAGTCCTTGGAGGGCTTGGGCTTTAGTGACTGCATGTAAGACACAAGTGTTATGATGACCAAGTCTTTTGTGCAAGAGCATAATACCAGTGGGCTTACCTGAGGTGGCCACGTGAGCTTCTTGCCTATGGACCGGAGTGGCCGTGAACTAGTATAGCTTCGCTGTAGCCGACTTCTTCGCCTTGACATTGAAACGTTGGTCAGTTTGCACCGTGCCCACAGTTCGCTGGAATGTAAAGCGGAAGTCATGTTCTACGGCTGCAGCAACCGCTAGAAGCTTGTAGTGCAGTTGGGGTGCATAAAGCACACCACGTAGTCTTATATGGCGTTGACCTCCCTTGGAATCAGCCACCTGAAGCACAACGTCACCGGCGCCTTCAATGGGGATCTCGGACTTACCACCAACCGTGATGGTTGCAGTCGCAGCGGTCTTGGAAACGAACCACTCGGCATGTTGAGTAACGTGGCTGGTGCACCTGGAGTCAACAGTCCAGTATAAGTCGAAGGTGGAGGAGGCTTGAGCCGTAAGGCTGATTGCCGGCGGCATGGGCTTGACTACCGTGGCGACGGCGATGCGAGCGTCTTCACGACGAGACTGGTCGTACCTACCTTCTTCACGGCGAGAAGGCTGGCGTCCCTTGCTGTTATTGTCGCGGTTGTTGCCGCCACGTCCGCCGTTGTTCCGACTCCGCCCGCCTTTCTGCCAAGACCCGCGGCCACGCCACAAATTGCTGTCACGTCGTTCGTAGAGGTGGGGCCGGTTGGAGTTATCGCCGCGGAACTCAAAGTTTGCAGGCAGGACGGTCCCGGCCTTGACAGTGCCATCCCGCAGGTCTTTCTGTAGGCTGCGGCATTGTTGAATGTCGTGGCGAGGCTTCTGGCAGTAGCTGCACACCTGATCAGACGACACGGGATATGCCGAAGCTGGAGCAATGAGAGCTCGCTTGCTCCTAGTAGTGCCCGGGACGACAGTGGTACGCGCTTCTCAATCTTGACTCGGCGCTGCACCTTGCGCTGCGAGAATGAGCGGATTGGCGACGGTGCGTTGGGCTTCTTGTTGGTCTTGGCATCTTCTTCGCTGCCAGATTCTTCTACTTCTTCGTCTTTAGATGTTGGCTCGTAGTTGACGGACTCAGAGTTGTATTCGACTGGAGGCGAGGTCTTGGGTGCATCCTCAGCATCGGACCTCTTGCTGTCGGACGAGTCTTCGTCAGCTGCGTCGGTGCTCAACCCGTCGTAGTTCTTCTTCGTGATGAAACCGAGTAGGTGCTTGCCATCAAGCGATGCCGTCACTCGGCTCTTCCACACATCGTAATTCCTTGAACCGGAAAGTCGAGGGAATTCATCACTTGAGGCTTGGCTGGGGTTCATGACCTTATTACGGGGCAGCTTCAGCACGTAGAGTAGAAGGACTTGTCGAAGTGTTCGTGAAAGAAAGAGTGAACATTAATGAGCAGTTAAAAGAAAACTAAGCTAGAAAACTCTATACTGCTGCCTAAAACATATACAGGTTGGCCATTGCCAACCGTTCAGAAAGGCAAGTTGCCCTTATTATAATGCATATTATGCTTTATGTGAGTCGTGAGTTAGAGACGAGTTTAGCTTCATAAGCTGTGATTGCCGAAGCCACGAAGGGGCAACGTGACCTACATTTTAGGCTCACTTCATAAATCGAAGTGCGAACGCGAGAGAGAGAAAAAAGAAGTCATGCGAGTCGTTCTCGCCGTCGTGCCCACTTTTACGAACGCATTGATTATAGAATGCGAGTCCAAGGCGCCCATGGATATCTTCCCAAAGAAGCTCTATCAGCGCTACCTAAGAAATCCTGACACACAAAATTTGTGCACAAAGCATAAAGCGGCGTGGATGAAGAGCGCATTGATCTGAAGAAGCTCTTAAATGCAGAAGACATCGCTGTTCATCTAAATGATCACGGCAAACGAAAGTATTTGTTTGCAACGTGGATGAAGGATGAAATAACGGAGATGGCTGTCGTTGCCAAGCTAATGGAATCTGACACAAAGCTTAAGAACATGTCGATACTCGCGGCTTTCAACAATGCAGAATTTCTGTGACTTATAACCAAAAGTTGACAAATTTTCTCGACACCAAGACGCTCGACGATTTATCCTCAGTATTACAAGCACCGAAAACGACGCCGATAAAGGAACAATTCGCCGCGTGGCACAAGAAGGGAATAACTTCCGAAATGTAATGGGCCTCATTGCATATATAGGTGATCGGCTATTAGATATTACATATGTAGCAGTAGCAGCACGCAAGTAGCGCGGGCTGCGTGTCATGTCCTGATTGGCAGATAACCGGCCAATCAGGCATCGACCTCAGTTGATTTGTTCACATAAGGGAGCAGGGCTACTGCCCTGGCTCCATAATAAAGCAGAGTTGATTTTCTCCTATTCCGACGACTTAGACTCAATTGGACTGAGTCTCCTCGACGCTTCCTAGCCACCGTGTATGCAAAGATAATGGACATTCTTAGCCCGTTACACGAAAAGCTTACTCTAGCGTTGAGAAATATCGTGAACGAGAAAAAGCGAAAGAGCTATGGTGCACTAAAGAGTCACTCTAAGGCCTTCGTTGACGGTAAAACTATGAAAGTAAAAAAAAAAGGCTGCAGAAGCTGCGGTGGATGTGTAGAGCAATTCATATACCAAATGTTAAACTGTTTGGCTCGAAGCAGTTAAATATTTCGCTGCAAAGCATTGTCGATACCACCGTCTATTAGTTGGTATTTTCTGAGAACTACTATTTATCTTGATTTCACATACAATCGCTGCATTTAACCTTTTCCAAGCGCCATTTATTAATTAACTGCATGTTCTTTTCACTAGGAAAATCTAGACAAGACAGCCCCAAGCAATAGCAAATATCACCGGTAATATGAGGTCACCTCGCGTTGTTAAAGCTGTTTTACACGTGCTAATGATGTGACTGATGACTGCTCAACAATTTGGCCTGCTGCTGTCCAAGTTAGAAAATTGTCGGCGGACTTCAGCTTGTGGCTCACTGGTGTATCACACAGGAGGAATATGGTAAACCAGGACGTTATCACCAGAGCTCGCTATTGGGTACCCAATGTCGGGTACGACCACACCTGCACCAGGTACACCTGGCCGTCAGCCCGCTACGGGTAACCGAAATGAGTGTTGGGCGGTAAACGGATACCCGAGTGTACGTAAATGTTCACCTAACAAGCAAAACTGGAGTGAAATCTCGCGTTTGGCTTGATAGCACTGTGTTTGCACCGATAGGATATCGGTATACCAGCGCGTACAATTTATCACATTTGGTTGCACTTCTGTAATGGCTGCTCCTAACAGAAAAAGTAACACTGACAACAACGGAACCGGTCGATCTCAATTAATTTGAACGTAGACATCTTATACATATATACTGGGATGTTCGATTTAGCAGGCTGAACAGCAAGGACCAGATTTATTTATTACAGCGGTCGTTAACGTTTGGGGTCGCATTCGGGCATGACCTGAGTATTGGTCGTGCATTTAGCGCTCATTCCAGCAATATCGAGCTTTCTATCGCCATTTAAACCAATTCAGAAGTCAAATATGTTATCAGATTTTCGTTGAACTAGACAACATCCCAAACGATTGCTCATTGGGTGATGAATTGAGGAATGACAATAGCTCAACATTTCATTCAGAACTACCCTTTTAAATGTGACTAACGTGATCCCAACAGGTGTCCAGAATTATGCCAGTCAAGGGAATATACACTTCTAACACTCCGTTAGCGCACGCATACCTAACGCTGGCAAATGTAGCGAATACCGGGCTGTGGTCGCCTTGGTCAAAATTTAGGCCAGAATAAACCAAGTCGTACCTTCCACGAAGAAGATCTAAAATTTGAACAGCAATGGTATTCTTTAAAAAGAAATCGTTCTTTCGGTAAAATTCATTTAAGCGTGAACACAGCAAGGGCAAATGCTCTCTCGATACTCCGAAAGGGCCACGGTCATATTTTGGTGTCGATACACTATTTTAATAATTCCCAACAGTCGCTTTTAGCGGGCCGAGTAGTAGCCGTAAGTCAATTGAAAAAAGCCCGAAGTTTTTGGAATTGTATGTCCTGAGAAGTTTTATTGTACCACATCTATTACGCAGAATTTGCTAAATATCGTTCTCCTCGTCAATGGAGGAGTAGCATGATACTATAGCTTCGCGTCAACTGGGATAGTAATATTTTTTCAAATGTACACAAAACAATAAAAAAAACTCTTTAAAAAAACGACATCAACAGGATCAACTCAGCCTCTTCTGCGCCAGCAGCCGAAGTATCTGAAGCGTATACGTGTGTACACCCATGATGCTGGTAGAGCTTACTTTGGGATCAAGCATTTGTAAGAGTTTTCATTAATAATTTTTCCATCTCGTGGTTGTCATAATGTATACTCGAAAAAAAGATTATACAAATTATGTATGCATTCACAATTGATTATGTACATCAACCTGTTGGAACGTTAGTGCGACGTGTGCCACGAATGTATGACACTTCTTCCATATATCAATTTGTAATAAAATCTACTGTTTGTTTTAAAACGGGAGAGGGTTTCGCTTCAAACGAAAATGTATTCTTCCTAATTTTATACTGTAATACTTCTATGTTTTGGCAAGGAAGTGTGTGCCCAGCAATTGAATTCAATACCATTAAGTCGCTGTTGATCGTTGATCTCCCATTCGTGGTGACTATTTGGAAAGTCCAGCGTACGAGTTTGAGCAATATATTAATATATTACTCAAACTCCGAAGCATACTAAAAAGTACATTTAGCGACGTCAATGAATTGGAATAGATCGGCGTGTCAAGGTGGAGGACGGAACGAGAGCGATCGTACCGGAGCCTTGGTGGCGGTTGAAGTTCCCCACAACGGGTCGTGTGTAGTGTGAGTACGGCGAGTAGACGTCGTATCCAGAGAGTAGTGCGTGCAGGAGCCGCCGAGATGCGGTCTTAGTGTTAAACGGTCGCGAAATTTGTGGTTACAAGCGGGTGCAAGACGCTCACTTCCAAATTGGCAAAAGAGCGAGCAAGGTACTTCCAAATTGGCAACGGGCAGAGCAAGCTTCGGAGCTAAGTGTGTGTGTGCGTTGCCAGTAAAGAGCTGCATATCGAGTCGAGAGGTGTTAGTGACGCCGACAGCAAGCGTGTAAAGGAGGAAGTCATGACCAACGGGTGCGTCAATCAGCAGATTGGGTCATGGACGTCGCGGAGTGTGGCAGCGAACACTTCGGACGGTGTGGCCGAAGTCGAGGCGGAGAAAACGCTTCGCGTGGGCGTCAAGGGCAGTGTGTTGTGCGACGTGACGGAGGCGAGGTTGATACGTAGAAGCCTTTGTTGGCGAATGGAGCATTGCAAGTGTGTGAGTTAGGACTGAATACAAGTAGGAAGCACGAACATCCGTGTCTTCCTGCGCGGTTTGTCGTGTGGCGAAGTCGGTGAAAACGTTTTGCCACTCAGGGGATGGTGTATAGCGCACACCAGATAAGGGTAACGGATGAGGGTTCTTTCTGAGCCAATAGACTCAAGAAGCCTCTTCACCGCGCGACGATTCGGGGTTAGGCGCCAGGAATGGCAGCTCTGTGCGAGGATGAACCGGGTCTTCCGCGTGCGGTGGATAATGTGACTTCCAGGGGGTGGTGTGAGTTCATTTTGTGTCCTCGTAGGCTCGTTTGTCTTCGACGGAACGGCACTCCACCCGAGGAATCTTGCGGGGTGTAAAGAGTTTATAACGTTAGAGGAAATGCCCGGGAAGCGCCCACTTCAGGAAGCAGCCTCGGGAACTTCGAAGGTAATCCTGGCGCAGGTGTCCGAGCCTGGATCCGGGAAATCAAAAGTGTGTACGCTAGGATGCAGACAACTCGTGTACAGCGTCCCAGGTGCGCTTCTGGACTATTTGATAACCAACAAATAAACAAAGTTATACAAAAATATGTTCAAAAAAAATGTTGCTGTCCTAATATTTCAGACCCGGGCGGGGGTAGGGTCTCACAATCCAGGCTCGTTTGAGTCTAAGCTTGGGCAACTAGCAGGTCCAAACAGTCACAATACAGACGCACACCCATAATTAAGAGGATAGAGCTCGCTGTAATCCAGGATACGGTCAGTCCCCACAGCAGTCACTAAGAGGAGGCTACTTAGCGCTCTAGGAGTACAAAGGTTAATATGGAATGGGAGACAAGTTAGCGACCCAAACTAGGATATGGAATAGGTGGGCTCCATGATATCAATCGCTCGTCACCACCTAACTGGACTTGAGATAGCTGGATTTCCAGCGAGCGATCTGTCCTTCTTGATCAACTTGCCCGAATGTGTGAGGGCGCAGGAGGCTTGATTGCTTCTACGCTTCCGTCCTGGCTTATTCCACGTAAAACACTTGTGCTCTACGGGAATAATCAAACTCTGTTTAAAGTTATCAATAGATCCTATGTCTTCTTCTCCTGACTTCTTCTGTCTTCGTCTTCATTTCATTTTGCATTTTTCTCATTTTAGCCTTGTCCTCAGTATGGTCGTCTTAGTCTTGGTATGGTAGTCAGCTTGCAGTTCGGATTGGCCTTGACTTTAGTTTGGTCGGAAGCCAGTGCTTTGACTTCAGTGTGAGGCGATCTTGTCGACTCAACAGTCTTGCTCTTCGTCGTGGTTGAACTTCTGCATGCGTTTTACATGATCGCGTTACGGGCTCGTGGGTTGATAGTCGTCTGTCATCTTCGCACAATGTCGGCCTTGATGACTAAGTATCCTCGGCCCGCAGAGTGTGTTGAACAAGGGCTTGGATTGCCCCCACGAGGATGCACCAGGCATTCACCGGTGCCATTCTGGGACTTGTGCTGCATTCCTGGATTGGGCGTGGTGACAATCTCAGAATGCTGTATATCGAAGATGACCTACCGCTCCTGCATTACATCTTGTGATCTTGAAGCGAATTTCGTGTACCGCCTTCATCTTGGCGCGAAAGCCTTGCGCACTGCTCATCCCGGCGGGGCACCTCGTAAGGTGTCCATCTTGGCGTAGGTAAGACTTACTAGTCATATCTATGGGCTCCTTCTGTTATTCAGCTTAGAGGTATGTATCCTTGAGACGTCCAGAGCGTGTTCTTGGACCGGAGTCATCTTGGGCGTGTGCTATCATTCTTGTTGGGCGGAACTACAGCGAGAGGAGGTCATCCTGGAATCCGTTCTCCAGAAAAACTTTCCACCAGCCTTTAGATACTCCTCGTAAGGGAACGTCCGGGCCTGGATCGAGGCGTTTATTTGCCTTCCTGAATATGCACCTTGATGAGACACGCCTTCGAGGCGTGTCTCATCAAGGTAGTTTCGATCCCATGTGCATCCGGCGCCAACATATTTTCCACAGAACTTTCACATCCCAGCTCCGCCTGTGTCACACGGGTGGGGCCGGGGAGTCATCCACTAAGCATGTAATCGTCATCCGTCATCAAGTGCAATCCAAAGTCGTGACACCGTAGCGCCACTTTAAGATTCCGAACCACTTCGTCTCAGGATCCTATGCGTGTATTGTGTTGAAGTTGGTATTCTATTCTAAGGGCCTGGGAACAGCAACCGTAGAGGCAGCACGGGTCATACTACTCGCCGGCAGGTAGGCGGCAATAGACTTGTTACAGAAAAAATAAACGTTGCATTCGAACTTTCGATGGACATTCAAACGGTATAACCTGTACGGTACACACTAGGTATTGCCAGCCGTGTATCGTCAGCTAAATTTCGAAATCATCGTATTCTGTCCACTCCGATTCATATCGCTAATTTTAACGGCGGCAGCTTCAGCATGGAGATAATCGTCCTGCTATGCACAAGCTTTCCTATTGGTAAATACTGCCATCATAATGTAAAACGCCTCTCATTAAGAAAACAACCTCTGTATGCTGCACAAGATAGGTAACCAACCTTATCGCGTCATTTAAGTTTATTTGATATGCTATCACAGTATAAACCTCATGATACAATCGATGTTTGATAGTAACAATATTCGAAGGTTGCTTTCTAAGGACAACCTTCAATTTTTCTTACTACTTAAAGCCATCAATTCTATCACTCTTTGTGGGACGGGCGCTGCATTAGTACAACTTCATTGCCTTATTGAAAGGCATTGAAGTTGTCCGTGTTCAAAAACAAAATTTATTGAACAAACCCACTATCAATAATAGATTCCTGTCGCATAAATGTTCCAAACAGCAAAACGTTTCACACCACTAACTGAATCCCGTACTCGGTTTCTTTAAAATGTCTTTCGTACCAATTAGAGCGATTCCAGCAGCTATTTGTAGCCGTTTTCATCCCTAATTAGCTATCTTTTCCATAATCCAATCGCATCTGACTTGAGATTTGAATGAGGGGGGTACCCCCCCCCTCCTCTCTCTCTCTCTCTCTCTCTCTCTCTCTCTCTCTCTCTCTCTCTCTCTCTCTCTCTCTCCAGTATTCATTTTAACTTGAGAAAGTGCATTTTGGACTTCCCAGACTTGCTATTGGAATCGCTCCACTATCCGAAAGCACTCAACTGATCTTTTTCCTCATACCTTTATCATTACAGACCAATAGAACACGACTAACCGCACTCATTCAGACCTGGGTATCTGCTTACTGGGTGCACTGTTTCGTTACATTTTGTTTATTTAGCAGGAGGTAGTTAGTAAGAGTTAGTTGATAATTAGTTTTAGCGCGCTCTAAAGCAACAGAACACAGTCGCACTCTGATCATTCGGTCATTATTTAAATTTCCAGGCATTAAGTGTGTGGATTAAACAATGTTGTGTTCTTTCAAAATTATGTTGTACGAACGCTGACCCAGTTGACGGCAATAAATACTCGTTGGGCTTCCCAACAGCTAGCTTCCGCTACCCACCTACCAGTATAAGATCAGTGACATATCAAGAGATATTTCTATTTTAAAATTCAGAGCTAAAGCAGCATCCTTTCGTCAACGCATCTCCTGCAACTGCTTACTTCGATTATACTGTCTTGAAACTTTATACAATATGATGATAGAAAAAACTAGATAAAAGCGGTCAATATCAAAGTTTTACCACTGGTAGTAGGAGTCAGTGATGTTAATCGGCATGACATCATGTGCTCGTCCATTCTAAGCCGATTTCATTGCAATTTAGCTTCTAAGCAAGTCTACCAGTTCGGTGGAATCAAAAATCTATCAAGTACGACAGGATATCAGGATCAACGAGTTCAGCTTACACAGGTTCATCTGTAATGACTGGTGTGTTCACAAAGCTTCCTGAAGTAGGTAGGATCCATTCATTTTTTCTGTTACAGTTTAACTTGCATACGTAAGTCCTCGATAAACGAATATAACAATGAAATATTCTATTAGGCCGCCGCTGGTGGCCCACCACCATACTGAAAACAATGAGGACAATTCCAGGTTGAGTTTGTGGAAGTTGTATGCAATGAGAGCAGTTACCTGTGACTTTTTCCAGAACACTGCAATGCACAGCTTTTGGAAAGTGTTCCACATCAAAATGCATATTGGAAGACTTTAACTAACAAACACCGATAATAACTATACGGGGCACATTCTCTTTGAGTCCTTAGTCAGTTCCCAGGCATGCAACGAAGACGAAAATGCTAAACCAATCATGTATCAGTTTCCGCATTTAAACAGTGTCAACATAGTTTTCCACCGGGTAGAACAATTCCAAACGGGCGGGCAATCGTTACTGGAACAAGTCCTCCCAGACCATAGTACCACCTCTACTGTAGTGCATTTTCGAGCCCGAACCGAACAGAGAGTTGTTGTTGTTCGCTAGTTGGAGTGTAAGCCATTCAGATTTTACTTTATCATTAACTCGCAGTGCGAGCAGCTCTATACAACTGCATCAGCTTCTGCCACCTTTCTACTGCAGCCTTTTTCTTTTCCTTTTGGACGAAGCTTTTGAAGAGGAAGTCGAACGCGCCGAACCTCTTGCGCTTGTCTTCATTTTTAATAGCCGCGATCGCTGCACTGAACTCTTTGGGAGTTTTTCCGCTCTTATGCCACTCCGTGAATAGACGCGTCGCTGGTGTCATACCGGAAGTTTTCATTGCTAATGACAGTTCGTCCAGGGTCTTTGTATCAACCCAATCAGTCAGCTTTTGGTTGTAATGTATAGCTGTTCTTGCGTTGTCGATTTTAATGATCAAACCGATGTTCTGGGTTTTCTTGCCATTCTCAGATAGCTTGGCAACGATGGCATTCGCGTTGTCTTCGTTTTTCGCCAACTGAGCAAACAAGTCGTCGAGGTTGTCGAAGTTCTTCAGAGTAGTCACGATGTCGTCCGAGCTTGCTGCTAAGAGGTTTGGGATTACTTTCGGGTCAAGAGGTCCCGCACGTTCTTCGTCGCTAGTGTTGTCTTCCATATCCACATCGTCCATGCCGTAACTTCGTAGATAGTGCTTCTCGTTTTTCTTCATCTGGATGCTTGTGACCTCCTTAGCCTCAGATCCAATAACCAAGGCGCTTGCCAAAACAGCCAGCATAACGAAGTACACGCGCATACTGGTTTTGCGTTGTGTCGAGCACTGCTAGGCAGGTGGATAGTTGAGGAGTGGTCTCAAACGTTACTTTTAATAAGTGAACTGTGTTGTCACGTTGTTGGTTATCACCTGTTATTTCGAAACGGCTTAGGTCTGCACCGTCTACGTCCATATAGTACTTTAACGAGTTAAAACTCAAACTAAGTCCTTGGACGATTTCGGCCGTTGTCTGAAGTGACTATTTTTACGATATAAGTTACTTGTCATTTGTATGGGGTCAAATCGTCGTGCTTATGTACGAAATCGACAGGGGGAAGCCAACTCGCTCGGCAGCACGAATCCATGCCTGTGGTTTAAAATCCTCGTGCGCTGGACGCGGGAGTAAGCCTAAGACCAAGGATGGCTAATTCCCGCTCGGTCCTATAAGATTAATGTGCATGGAGGTTTGGTTTGGGTTTAAGCGGTGATAGAGTCCTTCCGGCTCCTCCAACTGTGGAGATTTGCAGTCCATGACGCCACTGTCTCATCATGTGGCAATCTTATTTGCGTATGCTTTTACTGGTATCATTTATTTATAGTTAATACAGGAACAATGCATAACATGCGCTGCCAATCCAAGATTTGTTTGTTCACCATTAATAATGATTTTCTAATACCAAGTTGATAATGGCCCATTATCAGCTTGGTATTAGAAAATCAACTGTACAGCCTAAAACTGCATCCCAGCTGGGGATAAAGAATTGCTTTGCTTTTCCCAAAGCATGGGCATGGCCACAGTATCAGTAGTATACCCCGTTTTCGCGGTGTGGACATTATCAATGTATACAATTTGCAAACACATCAGATTTTAGAATAAAATTAGGAGAATATTAAGCTTGAAGATCATTGTATCTGGAGGCTTATCAAAGGTGGGAGGACAGGCGCTCGAAAATGATTGCGCGGGTCGTACAGCATGCCGATTGGCCAAACATCAGTCAAAACAAAGGGTAATTGGACCAAAATAAAGCACTCCGCTTCTGCTAAGGATTGTTGTTATCATAACCGCAAATCAATCCAGCAAAGCTGGGACTCAACATCAACTAGAGCATGGTGTCTGTCCATCCATCTGTCCGCGGCTAGGGTTAATATAGGGGGACGCAAATCCATTCATTCTATAACACTGGCTGCAGGAGCGCAGCGAAGGCGGCCCCGATTGGGTAAAAACCGGGTTATGTGGCCAACATCGAGGAATTTCCATAATCCAGTACATACTAGTATTAGTTTACTGAATTTTAGGGAGATGGCCATTTAATCTGCAGTACTGTTTTCAGTATACATTAAGTTCGTTATTTTGTAAATTACGAACTTAACATATTCTCTGGATATTTGAATCCAGACTTCTAAGCAGGATCACAGAAGCTCTTCTACGTGGTAACTGCAGTGTAGCGTACGAAAACACGAAGAAGTTTGTAATGACCCGTGCATGCAGATGCTTGACCTAGTGGTCACAAGGACCCAGCGGTTTGCTACGAGTTCTTCTAGCCTTGAGCCGCATTCTTGCGATATTCTTCCTTTGTGTGTCGTCCTCGTATCTACCGAGTGAATCATCGGGGTGCTATCACATTTGGCTTCTGATATGGTGCACAGAACCGTAGCATTGCTCCCCTTCGAAATATGCATGTAAAGGCAAATTGACCTTTCCGTGTTATCAACGAAAAACAATGTAATAAACGTTCAAGCAGCAAGCTCTTGCTGAATATACTCGTTATGATTGGAGTTTTCTGCCTTTTGAATAAGAAATTTTAGTGGTTGTTTTTTCAAGTTCAACATTACAACTTTTCTCTATCCACGTTTTTTTTATATACTTTTAACTCAAAGTGTGGTCATGAGTTGCTTGGCAAAAGCGAAGTCGAAATCTAGGGTAGCCTGTGGATGTGGTCAGATTATCAAGCTGAATTAGTCCTGTTTGATGAATCCAATGACTATAACAGATATTATTTGTGTTTAGAAAATACCTTAAACTGGAAAATGCCGTACGTTTTTCTGTTTTGTAACTCTTCAGTGATGCACATGAAATGTACTTTGAGAGTTTAAACGGGTATTTCTTTAAACTTTGCTCTTTTTGCATGTGTTTACGACACATAGGACAAGCGACCAATCATTTCAGTTAGATCAGGCCAACCATCATGGAAGGTACCACTTCGAGAATTGATTAGTCACTTGCCCTTCCAATCGTAAACAAAATCATATTGTTTAATATAATTTTGTATACTTTAGGCAAGATCGCGAAAGGGTAAAAAAAAAGGCATCCACGTAAACAAAAAACTGGTGGATCAACTACAATAGCCAAGCAATATCTTGCACTAGACCTTTTAATCACTTCGCGATTCGAACCCAAGAGCACAAGTCATCTAGACGTTCGATGCGTAAGAAAGCATGCAGTTTTTCAACACCATTTTCATGGTTATTACCGTCCTTAACATGTCATGGTGCGTTCACGCACACACGACGAGAATCTTCCACTCTTCGGAGATGGACATGGCGACGACTCAATGGCAGGAGTTGGTGATGGGGATACTTGCTGTTTGGGATGGCTTGCTGATGGCTTGCCGTGTTCGCGGTATCGGCGTCTCGACCGGAAGTACAACACACAGCTAACCGCTGATTCCAGGATGGTTTTGTTAGTTAGAAGAACCGTTCTGCTATCAACGTGAAATAGCTAGAGCTTCCCGGGCAACGCACGGCATTAGTTTAGTGATACTGACTTGCTGTAGTTACAGACGATCCCCTAGGCAGTCATAGCGTTGCGAGGTCCCAATTTATTCCTGTCTAAGGGTATTCCTATCCTGAATATACCACAAAAATGGATCCGAGAATCTGTAGTTTGGACCGGTGCACAGAATCCAGTAATAGGGACGATTGCGGTTCACTCCGGGCTTATTATTGCCAATTTGGACTTGCCACATCACGATGACCTCCCTGGTCCAGCTAGTCACCTAACACTCAAAAGAGTCAACGACTACAGCTACACGCTCAGAACCAGTGCTCTTACAATAAAATAAAAAATTGTACTGGGCTTCACAGAAGCACATAATAATCATTGCAATATACCGATCCACAATAATAAATTATTCAATTATTTTGCTGTATTGCAAAAGGGTCAGGACGGGGCAGTGGTGTGAGATTTAATGAGTATCATGCTAGCATTACTATGGGTCCTGACCCGAGTCAATACTAATTTTAGGACCTAATTGAGGTATCTGTTTTTCGCGAAGATAATCTTGTTCATAAAAAGAAAACGTACAACAGCGTACAGCATCATGGAGCGGCGCTCCGGGGTTTCAATCCGTTCCTATGCAGCTGCAGTGGCCACCAGATTAGCATATGAAGGGGCCAGCGCTAGTGGTGTTGATGTACAACTTGAAATTGATGAAAGTGAGCGGGCTACAATACAGACAACACTTGACACTCGACCTATCAACACTAAGCGGAAATACGACGGCTACCAAAACGAGTTTGTGCAATGGTGCACCTCTCGCGGATTCCAAGATAAAGACACTGTGACCGATGGAAAGCTACATTTGTTTCTGTCTAGCATGGTGATCGGGCGAAAGTCTAAGAAGAATGCTGAAAAAACCGTTGGAGGCTCCACTGTGTGTGGATATGTAAACGCACTTGTAGATCTGTACAACCAGCAGGTTACACTTCGTACAAACTCGAACCCACACCCGCGAACCACTGCTGTGAAGCAACTGATAAAAAATGTCCAGGCCACGACTACTCAAACCAAGAAAAAGAATTACGAGGACAGGGGAATTGGCTCATTGTTCTGAGTCAGAACCCTACTCTGTCTCAGATACTTAAGTAGAAAAAGCTACCTTTGTGGCCTCACAGAATCTATGATCTCCCTCTGGTCTCATAATAAGCGATGATTTCGAATCTCTTAGAGCACAAAATGGTGCTAGAGACACTTGGGGTCTAGCAGTTGACCTCATAATCACGGCACGAGGTGCGCCATCTTGAACTCGATCAGACCCTTGCTAGTTGGGTCTCCTGTGTGAAGAGAAGAAAGTTACCGTCACCGACGAGGCGCTTAGGGTAAGGCAGAGCGCTTCTCCACGATTTTAAAGGTCGAGTCTCCTCCAAAGTGGTCAAATGGATGGCTTCATTAGTTCACCGGATTTGGTAGAAAGAACGCTATTGTGAAAGTATGACTGTTCTCATAGTTTAGCACCCCAGAATAGGAATGTTTGACTTTTAATGTTCCCCTTTTTACAGCTGAGGGGTGTTTCTATTCAACTGGTCGCTAATTTTCTGCTGCTGAGGGAGTAATCCAGGCCTAGGGATTACTACTTTTGGAATCGTCTGTAGATTCTTCCTTCGTTTCCCTCTTGTTGATTGGTACAGCCCCACAAACTCGATGGTTCCAAACTCAAAATCGACTTTGAGCTTCCACGGTAGGTTTTCAACAAGTGCCCGGGTTAGTTCGCGATAGACCCTTAGCGAACTTGTGTCCCGAAAAGAACCGCGGCAGAGTTCTCGCGAATTTTTTTTTGGAAGTGCATGTTTCCTTAGCTGAAGAAGTATAAAGCTGTTCATCAATTATGGACGTCGTGGCAATTCCGCGATTCAGGAAGTGCACTGTACTACAAACTGAGGAGTAACTCAAGTTGGGCGTCAAAATGTTTACCCTTTAGTTGTGCAGAAGCAATAGAATGTTTCGGTACTACCTTGATGCTAACACGAATGCAAAATTATGGTTGCTACTGATTATTAATTAGTGCAAACTTAGTACAATCGTACTGTTATTGACACTCCACGTCACGAATTAATTGGATAATTGAAGCGTATGGCGGGACCCCGGGGTCCCCCTTGGACCCCGGTGCTCTCACAACATACCGGTATATGTCATGCTTAAGTATTTAAAATGTATATTAGGTGGTAGAACTCGCTGAACTAGCTACTTGCAAAAACTGTTCCTCTGATGGACAAAAGAACTGTAAAATGGGAGGTTGGTTCACTTTCATCGTGAGGCCACTTTTCTGTGGACGCCCTGGTCTGCGTTTTGGAGTGCACGTTGGTACGGCAGCATTATCTTTGTTAGCTTTGGCTTGGGCAGCAATAACAATTGCATCAGGAACATCGGGGTAGTATCCGGTGTATTGCGATCGAATGGAAAAATATTTTGCAGCGATAGACTTTAGTTTCTTTGATGGAAGCTCTCTCGTTGAATAATGGGGAAGCTGGACACCAGCGACGGAAGCTTCCCAAATGGTTTCTACATTCGTGTTAACTAAACGGCGGGCGATGCAAACTCTACGATCATTTTTAAAAAAAATGCTTCGAGGTATATCCATGAGGTGGGGTGAAAGTACTTGGAGAGAAGAGAACCCACCCAACGATAAAATGGACGAAGAGGGTCGTTGGGGTCTAGAACTTTGCCGCCAACGCTCTTAACACGATTCACTCTTTCAATGATATCTGCTAGTGTGTAAATGTTTTCTCGACGAATCGCCCCTCTGCACCAGGCTACGACGTGATCCGCAATATTGTGAGAATGCCCAGGAAGCAAAAAGCACAAAACCGCCTTTTTGTGCGGGAGAATTACCGAGAGCATAGCAAATAAAACATTAGCACCACTTTTGATTTATTCTGTCCAACACAGTTGTCGAGAATGTTGAGGCTGGTTTTATACCCTTTAATGCTTTGTTTGTATGGTTAAGAGGTGGTAGAGAAGTCGTAGACTACAGAGTGCATCCGCATCTTTTCCTTGGCCCCGCTCATGTATACGTTGTTTCGCCCCTGTGAAATGTCAGCAATTACAAAGTTCTGAATCATCAAATTGCTGTTAAAATAATCAGCAGAAGGGGACAATGACCATAATATGGCATCGAAATTCCAACTCAGAAGTCCTCAGCTTGAATCTGGGTCAGACATTTTTTCTGCCCTTGAGATTTTTCACGTGCATCTTCATCAGCGGGTACATCATCAATAGTGTCTGGGATAATTTCTTGCGGTTGTGTCTCTTGTGGTGCGTGTAAAGCTGCGTATTGCTTAACAAAAGAAGACACGAAGCGGCGCTGGGCAATGACTTTATCGAGGTGCATGGTTTTCTCCAACACAAGTGCGTTCCTATCTTCAGCAGAAAGATCTTCTTGCTGAAGCAAGATACTTAAACGAACGCAGCAATCATTCTTTAATATGAAATAAAGTATGTCCTTTTGTCCGAACAATTTTGACCAACTACGAAAAAATTAAGCTGTATGGGAGGCCATCGAAGGCCTTCAAATTCGCAAATGTTTACACATGCCCGCTATTTGTTATTCTGATTGACTCTCATATATATAGCAAGCGCTAATTGGATCTACAGCCAACGTTATTGTAATTTTTCTGGTGTCCAAAAATTTATGGCCAGGACTTTACACCGAGGTGCGGACGTATAGATTAGGATCATATAAACTGTTAAGAGGAATAGTGGTCGTGGTCAGACTATTTGGCTGTATTTTATCTATAATAGTCTTTCCTGCGTAAAATTTCATTATGAATACTATTTGGAAAATCTTTTATTAAGCAAAATATTTGTTTTAAACAAAACCCTCTATTTGGACATTTAGCTACCTATGGTGCCCAACGCACACGGTCCTCCCGACAGCTGCACGCGACCCCATTTTTTTGCCTCCATTTTCGAATCCAGAAGCCGCGGAGCGCCACGCCACATGATGTACACTGCGTGTTTGCATGTTAGTCTACACTAGTAGACGTCAATACCCATATAAATAGAAAATCCGAGCTTTCCGGGTCTGCTTATGGGAGAGCTTATAACTTGCAGGATTTTATCCTGCAAGTCGATAGCCGTGTTATGTGAATTTAGTCTTGGAACCCTCTATGGTTTCTGGGCTATATCCCACCTCCCACTCTGCGCGAGAGCGCATTATGGCGGCCTGCCCCATCGACCGCAAACCCTACAGCAACCCGGTTGAGCTGGTCCGATAATAGTTATCGAGGGTACGCACACTGCGTGCATGCGGCTCCCTCATATTACAATAGATGGGGGAGTAATAGCATGTCAATTACCAGCCCTTGCAGTTAACGACTGCTTTTGGGCTGAATAATATTAAAACATCAAGCTACAGTGCTACTTGGGGATCCTACCCTAAAAAAATTCGACTGTACGTTTTACAACGCTCCAGTCTTACAGCCGGTGGCTGTAGGATTAGTGATCAGAGATAACCTTGATGGGACCAAGCAATCCCAGGTAGCTCGTCGATGTTCGTGTACCTACTTAATTCACATACACGCCAATATATATTGTCTATGTTTAAAAAACCTTCTCGCCAGAATTGTGCTGATTCCACAACAGCTTGATTTCGTAAGAGAAGCCATAGTCCACCAGAGAAAGCGAAGGTGGTCGGCCCACATAACTGGGACTAAAACTTGCCACTACCGCCGCGAAGTGGCGGCGCTCGGTTAGTCTTCAGCATCAATGCTAGCACGGTGTCTGTCCGTCACACGACTCCACTTGAATTTTGGAGCTTTTGGATTGGCTGTCGGGCCGAGCGAAGGCGGCCTCCATTGGCTGAACTTACAATATGTGACATCGATAACTAATTTTGTGTTCTGTACATTGCACATATGGAGAATTTTGCAAGGCGAGCTGCCAATCGATGCGAAAGTGGCATTGAGAACAATAGTAATATAATTTAGTAACGTTACTTGTAGCTACGGCGGCCGAACTACAAATGCATGACGTTGCTGGCTAGGACACTGTGAGGTTATACATAGTTACGGTACCCCGTAGTTTGTGTCAGAAAGGTACGCGACACATACGCTAGATAAACAATCAGAACTATAGTCGGCTTTTGTAATAAATGGAACTCAAAAGTTGCCTAAATGAGACTGTCTCGATTTTACACGCTTGACTGGTAAATCTGTACCAGAGTTTACGGCTTTTTTTGTAACCGGTGTAAAAAAGTACATTTCAAGTCAAAACCGTAAAAACAGTTAGTGGCCCTCGTGCACGCTAATAAATGTCCCTTTGCTTACAGTTGATCGGTTGCAAAAAGCCGTTGATACCGGTACTGCGAGCTGGTCCACAATAAGAACACGATTGCTAACAACCACTGGAATAAGTATCCCTATAAGCTATTGGAAGACGGATGCCATCAAACCATGGACAAGATTCTGAAGCGAATCGAGGACGGCGAAATGTTTCGTGATACCCATACCAGCGTCGAGAACAATTTCACCAGTTCTGACGCGGTAGTTTTTTGTTTTCGGATCGTCTGCAGGTGCCAAGGTATCATTGGTTCGCAATTATCATCACCAATCAATCGTGCTACCCAGGTACCTGCAAAACAAAGCTTTTTTTAGCTTAGAAGTTTAATTGAGGGCTGCATTTTTGTGTTGATAGTACTGGTGATACCTAGAATTTTAGTGACAGTACAATACTTACTTATTACTTCGAAGTACTCATTACTTTATTATTGTTTTTCTCATTATTCATTTATTTAATATTGCTGAGCAAAACCACTTATACATTTCTTTATTGTATGTCCGAGCACTGACCTGCCCCAAACCTGCCCCCACAATTTTGCGATATCCCCCCCCCCCCTTTACTTTTTGGTTTTTTGGGCTCTGGCCCGTGCTGTAAAACTCAATGTGTTTAACAGTGTAATGGGTCCGTTGGCTGGTGATCTTATCGCTAGTCCCACCTACGCAAATACAGTACTGGCTGGCCTGCTCCGTGGGCACCACGATCGGGTTTACGCCTTTCGTCTACTACATGTATTAAAATATTTCCGTGTAGCCATGCTAGTCCCACAACATGGTAGGAATATCCATTTCCCTCTACGTTGGCTTGTGATAGATTTCATCAACGACCTAGAGTTTGTCTGTGGTTCAGAAATGCGGTGTTTGTAAGATGTGTAGCATGATGAATCGGAAAAAGCACATTTCACTATATTTTACCGCCCTATCTTTTTTTTACGTTGAGTGCTGTAGAGCATGCAATGCTAGTTGTGCCTGTAAATCGACCAAATCCTGCTCCCATTCCAATGGCCAATTCGAACTCACAAACGGGTTGTTGCTGTCCTCGTTCTGTCGCTGCTGTTCTCCATTGGAGTCGGATAGCACCTGGCCAAGGGATTCCATTACCACTTCATTCTTGTCGCCAAATAGCACTTTCCCTATGCCCTCTGTGCTCATAGCTTGGCTCCAAGCGCGACGGCAAAGCAAGTAAAACGCTTGCATTAAGTTGCGTACGTCTTCCCTTTGGGGTGCTAAATTCCAATGAATGTCTCGAATATCAACAGAAATTCTCAAACTATCGAAATAATAGAAGTATGCTTACCGATTGCTTCTGCTGCTAGACGAAGTGGTAGAAGCTGCTGATCTCGACCAGCCATACCTTTTTGATAATCCGGCAAGTTCATCGATAAACTCGCTAGTCGAGTATCGACAGGTTGCTCTTCATCAGCATGTTCCTCGTGTTGCTCATGCCATAAACTCGCAATTTTCGTGACTTCAGGCTGCACTCGAACGACTGCTTGGGATCCACAGGCCTTGCTCAAAGTATGATCAGTGACACCACACAGCGCACTAATCACAAGTGGCGGGGCTCTTGCGTTTGCAGCCAGTGAGTGTCGAATTTGAATAGTTACGCTCTTCAACTGAGACGGTGGCATGCAAAATATCAAGATATCACTCTCTCGAGCTAACCGTGCATTGTCGTAGTACCGAGGCACTAACTGGAACATTGGCAGAGCTGAAGGGGCTTTTAGTGCTTCACACCGAGGGATTCGATCTGGTTGACGGGTGGACAGCGCCATACGCTCGGCACGGTATCCATTGGCTAAGAGTGTCATGATAACTGTGGTTCCAACATTGCCGCCTCCCAAAATTCCTATCATGGGTGGTTCTTTGTTTGCTACGGCAAAACATTTAGTGCATGCAATAACCAGCAAGAAAACTTCATGGGCTATTACTTGGATCGACAATGATCGGGTATGATGCAGTAACTGAGCCTTTGAGGCCAGACGAGTGGATGCCAACAGCTCCGAACGGACCTTGAAAGGCTTGTTAACGTCTTTGCTTCCACTTCCCGTTGGCGGACTTGACAGCGTAAGTGGGGCATCGATTGGTGACGTGGACATTCTATCAGGTGAAGGGTCGAATCGATAAA